AAATTTGTTAGAGATGATAAATTCCACTCTGACAACTTCTTTTGCATCCAAGAATCCATATAAGTAAGGGAGTAAGGGGAAGTAATATTAATGATTAATACTTTTATTTATAATTTATAAATTATTTAATTTACACAAATAAATATTTAGGTAACTAGACTCAGGCACGAGGTAAACTAATAACTAAAAAACACGCGTACACTGTAGATTGGAGCGAAATGACAAAATAGTGGCGCCACCGTCACGGTTGCTATGGTAACATAGAATTTAGTTTTAGTCCTGTTAAAAAAACTTGGTATTCTCAGATTTAAAATACCAGTTTTCTTAAATCTAAAATATTTAACTTGACTTTTACTTCGTACAAGAAAACTCGACTAAAAAATATTCAGTATTCCGGGTATAAAAAAACTTTTTTTTCAGTGTACTACTTTTTCACTAAACCAAACAATTTACAGTTGAAAATTAAAATTTAAATTAGTGAATTTCATAATGTTTACCAAGTCATATGTAGCATATTTTACATTATACAGAATGGAGGAAAGAAGTAAAAAATATATATTTACTTTGTTGGTCTCAAAATCACATCATTTCAACAGACATAATATATTTTAATGCGTGTTTACCCAATCGAAAGAATTAAGTTATTTTGAACTAACGCGGAGAGAGGGTTGAAAACTATCAGTTTTTGCCCTCTGAATAAACCTGGCGTGTTGCTGTCAGCCGTATTTGTTTCTGACTTTATTTCATTCTGTCAAAATCGTATTTAGGTGTCATTTTAATCAACCAAAATAAAAGTTGAATATGTACAATGTACGTCATTTGTCTTAAATTATATGTACTGTTTTACCAGTTAAAACATCAAATTTAATGCTTCAATGTAGAAAATTATTCGTAATCAATATTGTAAATTGTTGGTAAAACTACTATATGTGGTCGTTAAATAACAATAATTATCTATAATAACTGTGAGAGAAGAAATGTTTATTTTTACACCTTTTTTTTTAAGCGCTAAGGTCACGTAGTTTCTCAACGGTAATGCTTTAAAGTAGAAAATACATTATATTAAAACACTTTGCATTTGAGGTGTCGAGTGATCAAGCTTCCACTACTCATTTGATTGAATTCAAAAGCAAACATATTTGTATAATAGATTCATGAAATCAAACTCGATGAAAATAACTGATATCGGATTCCTTTTATATAGATAGATCTATTAGAACCCTCTGAGAGTAACTCTACTGAGTTTATCATCGGTATAATCTAATTGAAATACTCGAATAGTTCAATCAAGTTGAGATTAAGACAGATGTATTTGTCTAACAGAAGTGGCTTCTCTAAAAATATGCAATTGAAAATTAGAAAATCTTTTTCTTCAAAATGGTGTTTTTTGTTTAAGATTTTTTAACTTTCCGCTATGAAACTCAATGATTTTCGAAAAATTGGTTTCACTCCGATTTTCAAAAATCGAGTTTTCAATAGATCACGTTTTAAGGTCCTAGGAAGTTATTCTGACTATTCCTACGAGGATGCCCTCCCCCTCCCCCCCTCCAACATATGTGAGTGTGTGAACTCCGTATAACTTTTAAACAGCTTGATTGATTGAAACGTAGTTGACGGCGTTCGAAAGAGTTTAGTTGCCATTAGATTTTCAGTGAGTTTGAATCAATTCGGTTTGGTAGATTTTCAGAATTCTCAAAAGTAAAATTTTCAAAAAACATTTTTTTTTTTGATAATTTTTAAACTAGTGTATCAATTGATTCCAAAAACCAACCAGCTATTAACCTCAAAAAACAACATGAATTGCCGCAAACCGCGTCAAAATCGGTCAAATTGTTTGAGAGATATTGAATTTTAAAAAATTCTAAAAAATTGTTTTTTTAACATAACTTTAAAATTTTACGTTACATCATTTGGTAGGTAAAAAATAATTTTTTGGTGCTTGAAAAACTGCGTCGAATTCTGAAAGCCCAATCAAAAACGATTGATTCGATCGAAAAATATCGCAATTTAGAATTAAAAAAAAAAATATGTATTTACAATCAATAAATTTTCGAACTTCAAGAGCTCAAAATGGTATAATGCTATGGTATAAAAAATTTACCGAGCGTTTTGACGTCGTACATAGTGGGAAGTTCCAGGGAAGGCAGCAAAGTCATCCGTTTTCCAGATTTTGCACGCCTCATGATGCAAAGCATCAGAACGTGCTTTACGTTCGAAAAAATTTTTTCGCCTTATTTCGGCAACTATTTTTATTATTATAGATTATAGCCTTGTGAGTTCACGCTGTGGAGTCACGCTAAGTGTCCGAATATCTTACCCCATAACAAAATGAAATACAAAACTAAAAAAAATTAAATTTCGGATTTTTTATGTCCAAAAAACCAGTTGATCGTGGAACTAAAAACGACAAATTTTAAGGTGCTTACTTTTATAATTTTCTTGCATTAACATGAAAGCCATAAAATTTATCTAATCTAATTAATAATTTAAAAAACATCAATGTTCATATTTACTTACTTCTAAAATGAGTTATGTAGAATATTCTTAAAAATTAGCAATACTAACTTTAGATATATCCTTGCTTGTTTCAGGTAAGGATCAAAGTTTCGCCAGTAATAACGTGGGTAAGTTTAATTCTGAGGATTCTACTGTTGGTTTGAATTAAGCTTATGTATTCACATATCACGGGAGCTAGTATGCTTATAAAACAAAATTTCGTAATTTTCTTCTAAACTCTAGTGAATGTAACTCATTAAAAACTTATTCCAAGAGAAATATTTAGAAAACATTGTCTCGATAAAAATTCTATTCTTTGATAAAAGAAAAAAAATAGTAGTTTGTCAGTGTAAGACTATAAAAAAAGTTAATTCAATCAGGACAAATAAATTTGAGCAAAGAATTTTATAGTACAGAATCAAAGAGTTAAGTGAACAAACTGCGAGGTACAGATGGATAAGAACGGTAAATTGCGAGCAATCTAACTGATTAAGCTCTGTGGGTGTAATCCCAACGGCGTTTCGTCCGATACTGTTCATGGAATGAACCAAAAGCGTGAAAGATGAGCGACTATCGCGTGATGAAAAGAGAACAAATACCACAAAGAATTTAAGTCTTGTCTACCAAAAGAATTGGAGCTTAATGTTTTTGACTTTTGGACAAAACTTAAATGTGTACAATAGATACATCTCATTTTTACAACGAAATTATGTTATGTTATAGTTTTTTTTTCTCTAAAACTAATATAGTTAAATGTCAGCCTGAAAACACTAACTTCCTAATTTTCACAATATTTATCATTTTTTTAACGAACAGTTAAACAAATATATTTGTCTTTTTATTGAAAATATTATCCAAGCTTTTCTTTCCTTTTAGAAGCATTTTAGTGATTCCTTTCTTTGCCTGTAGAACATTGTTGACTCAAATTTTACTTTTTGCCCCAAGCTTCTACGAGTTAAACTTCTATGAACTTATTATCAAATTAATCAGATCCCTGAAAATTATAACTATAAAGGTTCAGGTTTATACAGATCAATTATTTTATTATTGTGTTAATTTATTTTTCAATTCAGCAACGTTTCGTCACGTATCGTGAATTCCTCAGGCATCTAATAACAAACATACATAATATAAATTAAATTTAAATCTTTTACAACAGAACTTTACATCCAGACAATAAATTAATAAAAAATATACCTTGAAATTAATTAATTATTTAACACAACTGTCAGAACAAAATATCTAGCATTACTTTCGGCTAGGTTAGCCATTCGGCTTGTCGTACAAAATTTAAAACAATTATTTAACATGACATATATATTTCAATATATGAACTATTCTATGAACTATTTTTGTTTCGTTGTTACCATTGTATGATTGTTAAATTTTTCTCAAATAAATATTATAATCATCCACATTATTTTCATGTAAGTTTTTATAAAACGGATTTTATAATGGATACTGCAGTCAATTATCAAAAAACGTGCATTCTGCGTTTGAGACTTTTACAGAGTTATAGAAATGAATTTATTTATTTTCATAAGACGCAATTAAAATGTTGTTAAAAAAAATAACATCAAACATATTCATCTAATAAATCGTTTTAAAAGAAGATAACAATTAAACGTCAGAGTGTATACTTAAATAACACTTAACTACTTAATCTACCGCTTTGTGGATGAGAATTTGAGTTATCTTTCGCTACCTATTGGTCGTAACGAAATTACTCACTTCATACTTTACCAGAACAAAAAAATTAGTAAAACGGTTGCCCCTACAGGCCGTCTCCACAATCACAACTTCCCTCTAATTCAAAATGCAAAGCGCTCCAAATTTTACCTATTACGACGTTTTTGAGCTCTTTAACTCTTCTAATCGATAATTTTGTACAATTGTAAACTTTTCTTTCTACTTAAAAGCCACCAAATTTCTGTAATAACTTTCTCATTTATGTCTCATCTCTTATAATTGCTTCTGTCACGCTCATTATTTGGTAATGTTCTTAAACTTAATGGTTAACCTACATAATTATAAAGGAAAAATTATACCGATGATTGTTAACTCAAGAAAATTCAGTTATTGATTGCCTGTCGTTTTAAATATTAAGCTAACCTCTTAATTTATTCAATCTCAAAACTTACAAAAAGATTCATTAAAATAAAATCTCAAATCGCGGAATTAAAACTTGAAGCGTCAGAATCCGTTAATTGTCAAAAATTCTCATTTCAATATTGTGGATGTCAACCAACGTATAGATTGCAAAAAGTATGCCTACCCAACGATTTTACTTCTCGCAATAATTTATTTCAGCAACAAGAAATTAATTGACACGTTAATTAAGAAAAATGCCGATATCAATTTCGTTACCGAAGTCTGGGGGACGGCTCTTCACGTGGCAGCCCAGCACCGTTCCTATTACGCGGTAGAAAAATTAATAAAAGCTGGTGTGAAAGTAAATAAATTTAGTTCAGCGACCAATTGCACACCTATGTACCATACGATTCATGGTAGAAAATGTTACAAGCCTAGAATTGTCCGGCTTTTTTATTAATAGTGGCGTCAATATTACTTACGCTTGTGTTGAAGTATTTAGTGAAAATACATTAACACCTCTGGAAGTTGCTATCAATAACAAAAATAGTGAAGTGGTTAAGTCACTTTTGGCATTTGGGGCATCAATTAATTTCATTAATACGATCAATATCACGGCGTCAGAGTTTAATACCAAAGTGGATTTCCGGAATGTGATTAGAGTTATCAAAGAACATGTCTTGAGATGTTATGAAGTCGACTTATATGTTTGTGGCAGTAATATTGATTCTGTGAGCCAAGATAAATAGTATAATGATCTTAAGAAGCAGTGTTATTATGAAATGCAGTGTATAAAGCAGTTAGGGATTATCATAAGAACATAAATAACATATACTGTGATCTTTTATTTAATCCCTATGATGAAACGGAAAGTAACTTGAAGAAATTATCGTGATTTGATGTGCATTATGCCTTGAAGACTTTTAGTATCCTTAAGGAATTTTATTATTCAATTAAGTGTAGATTTATGATGTTAATCCACAGGTTACCAATGCGTGAGCTTTCTCGACTTAAAGCAAAAACTGTGAATGAATCAAATGAAGGATTAATTTGAGTAAAATTTATAAACAAAATACAATAAACTAAATTGTCTTTGAGTTATCATTCTCTGAAGTGATCAATTATGGAGATAAAGTAGGGTAGGGCGGGGCTAGTTGATCGTAGGGGCAAGTTGTGCAATCGAAATATCTCGAAAACTAAGTAACTTCCAACAAAAGTGTAAATGGTGAAAAGAAAGGGTTACGAGAGGAGAACACATCGCGCGAAAGTCAACTGCCGTCCGATGTTTAGACTAACTGACAAACCGTTTTCTTTTTTTTTTGCGTCAAAAAAAAATAGGTCTTTAGAATTTTTCTCCTACAATCGCTTAAAAATGCTATTTCGTGATCACGAAAGTATTCAAAGATGACTTAATGTTTGCCCTTTCGATTATATATGATTGTTTATTTTTAATTCTTATCATTCTTTTATAACCTAACTCTTATTTTGTTGCTTCAATGGGGGCTAGTTGAGCAAGGCGCTGACTGCGTGTTAAACCAGCCCTACTAGATTTTCAATATTGAAAAATGAAATTTTTCTTCACTAAAATAATAATTATCAATTGATTTGTGCATGTGATGATTTAATATAATGTGTAAAAATTAAAATAACTCATATTGATATTATATTAATAAATATATAACATAATTATAATTAATATTGTTATGTTTATAATTATTATTATAATCATAATTATACGTATGTAGAATTATAATAAATTAAATATTTGTGAGGCACGTTGAGCAATTTGGAGCGCTCGCGTATTTCCGGGAATAACTTGAAAATTTGAACTCGGATCGTTTTTGTGTCGCTAGACCATTTGAAGAAGACTAAATTACGAACCTAACAGTATATGACTAGATTAAATCCGATACATCGTCTTAAAGTTATGGAAGGTCAAACCAAAAAGTGATCACCTAGCCCCGCCCTACCCTAATCTTCTATTATAGAAGATACTTATAACTCTTATAAGTAAAGGAAAATTCACTCTTAGTTTTTACCTGTGAACTAAACGTCTTCTACTCTACTCATATCATGATATTTTTCGATACAATGCAAATCGTAAATCAGTTTATCATAAATTATCATTCATGAAATTGGTTAAAATATTCAAGGATTTCTTTAATTACTATATAAAAAATCATGGACAATGAATTTAAGTCCGTATTACAGAAAGCTTTATGAATTTCAGCAGAAAATAGTCCATCACTCAAGCTATACCTTTTTAAAATGTTCTCAATAGCAATTCACTACTTTTTACATAATCTGTGTCAAGCTGGTTAGAATATCATAGAAGTTGCCTTTGCCTGAAGCTAGACATGGTCTTTGTTTTGAAATTTTTTTATTTTCTTGCATTAACCTAGACAATTAGACAAGCTTAAAACTTTTTGAATAAAAACTGAACCAAAAAAAAATCATTTTTATAATGGTATCTAATCGCTTATTGCATAAGTGATATTTTCGAAAAATTGTTTTATTTTTATCACTCATTAATTAATTTCAAAAAAGCTTCATAAATTTTCGGTTTTTTTAATCATTTCTGATTAGTTAAAAATAATAATAAATAGTTTTCTCAAGTGGCTGAAATTATTTTTCCGCTATCCTGATTACACATTGCACAAATTTTCCTACCTCAATTACGCAATCGAATCAACTCTCTAACTGTGTTGATTTTACATGTATTTCTCAGTGTTTACTTCATAAAATATTTATTCAACAAGAATCTTCAAGAGTAAGAGGATAACTACAGTATCGTGATTACAGTACTGCCTCGTAGAATACGACTGCAGTGCGCGCCTGATAAGATACTCATTTCTATCCTCTAAACAGAATCTATTATTCTTATTGTAAAGAAAATAATTCGAATAATACGCTTTTATTATATTTTTTTTTTGCATTGTCATAAGATTGTTTTGATAACTCTAATTTATTTACAAAAATGTTGATAAAATTGTTTATTATAATGGAAAGCGGGAATTCTTTCTATTTTTAGTAACTATAATTTATTTTCGAGCAGATAAAGTAAACTTTTTTATTGAACTTCGTTAATGGGATAAGGTATTTCTATCATTTCATAATTTTTATTATGAATAGATCTGAATAATGATATTTATTTTACTTTTGAATAATATGAATATTTAGACACGAAAAAAAAAGTTACATTTCTATAAAACACTATGCCAAGTCGTGATTTTACAGATTCAACTTTAATTTTATATTCTCAAAATGTGCTTAACGTAGTTCCAGCGTGGTATAGTATAGTCAGAGCATTTACTATGAACAAAAATTTAAAAGCCTCGGCACACAGACGTTTACACATACAATTACATATTGTTAGTCTAGTGATCTGGCAACGTTGCTCTTGAAAACTGTGAAAGATTTGAATTTCCCGCTTTTTATGCTACACTATTTCAAGGAGCGTTGCGCACGGCGTTGCCAAATCACTATAAGTTGTTAAGTGAGCAGGTTAGAAATGGATCGAAATTTATTTTTTTAAATAATTAAATTTCGATAACAAAACGGTGAAGTGCTATTTTTATTTTTTTAACTTATTCTAAAAACATTTTTCAACACTCTCTTAATTTTTTTTACAATTCTGTCGAGAGAATTTTTTAATATAATAAAAAATAGTCGGAGAGACCGGACATTTTACATACTTTAAATGGAACATGACCCTCAAAATCGCCAACTTTGACTTTAAATATCTCGCGATCTAAACGGTCAAAATTTATGAAATTTCAGGAATTTATAAATAAAGCTATTCTGAACCCGTAAAAAAAATTTCAGCCGAATCTGTCGAAAGTGATTTCATGCTGGAAGTACCTTAAGAATTCTCATAAAAGTTGTGGAAATACTTATTTGAAACTCCAATTTTTTCAGTTTTTTATTTACAGTGTCACAAACGGAATTCGTGATGAGCGTAAAAGTTATGAAATAATTAATTAATAATTATAATTATTAAAATTCATATCAAATTTTATTAATTTAACTCAAATGATCTCAAAAATACAAAATACTAAATATATTATCTTTGTTTGATTATTCTAAATAATGTAAATTCTAAACAATATGTATTGAAATTTATTTACTGGTTTTTGTGTTTCCAAATTGACTAAATGAACTTTATATAAATATTTCATAGTACTTATTTGACTTAAAAACTGTTATATATTTTTGCCATTCGGCTTTCACCTTGGCATATCGTTAAGCAAATAAAATATAAAATAAATATAACTTGCATTTTATAAATTAAAATTTTTTTAACTGTTCTTCATTCGTCGAATGAAGTTTATATATTTTTTTGGCATTACCAAATTATTATAAAATTAATAATAATACATAACGAGTGACAATGAGACAGTGACAATTAAATAGATGTTAAATCACGTGAACTGCAAATGACATTTGAAATAATCATTGAATTTGAAATTTATCACATTAATAATAATTAAGTAATTAAGAGTCTCATTACATTAGTACTGTTTAAAATTAGAAACTATGTAAAGTACGCGAGAACAACCGCGCCGAATAGGCTAAAATCATTCAAACATGAGTGCACTATACACTAATCTAGATTTTGCAGGCGAATTCAATTCATGAAGCTTATCTTGTTTTCAATGTAATGAACTTCATAGAAGAGCTTTCGCAGGATTTTATTCAATTGTTTTCAAAAAGTTTATTTTTCATTAGCACTGCTATTTAATGCAATCATTGTTATTGTTTTTCGACACGGTTTCAACAATTTTGTAGTCATAAAAAATATTAACTCTTTGAAGAATATCATCATTGAGTAACGCTAGAAAATAAAGAAAAAACTTTCATACATTTTTGCACCAACCCTTACAATTGTAAATATATTCCTGTGCGTTTACAATTCTGCCGTGCTCAGCGTAAAGAGAGTATCTTATGTGGGAATGCTCTACTATAGTGTACCCTCTTTACGCTTAGCATGGCAGAATTGTTGTGGCGACATGTGCAGTGATTGCAATGTTAATCTCAGATTTAATACAAGTCACATTTTTGCTATATCTTTAGAGCTTTTTATTTTTTTTTTTTACATCCAGCAATATACTGTACCAACACGTTCAGCGTAAAAAATTCTCTTGTTAATTAAAACGCTAAATATAATTTCCTAAACTCTTTTATTTTTCTATCATGCAATACTTTTATTTGAAATATTGACTATTGTGTTGTATTAGTAAAGAGTATTTTGTAAAACATTTTGATTAAACTTAGCAAACAATAGATATTTTTATCATAACACAAAAAGAATTTTTAAAGTAACAACTTGTAAAAATTTAATTTTTCAGAAAAAATTATTGTTATACCTATTGAAGACAATTTTTTAATAAAAAGAATATTTTTCCTAAATCTTTACAAAACAAATCTTGTCAAAATTATGCAAACTCACCATTTTAAATATATAAGTTGTTGAATTTTAATTACATATTTATTACTCTTACTTTCTTCTTAATTTTGTAGTGAAAAAAGCTCATTTATCAGTGAATCTTTTACTTAAATGTAGGCATTGACTTATGGTTAATTTTCCAGTAAATAAATGTCAACTGTTTTGCATCAGTGAATAGTAAGAATATATAGGGAGAGAAGCACTATGACACTACCTTAGAAAATCGATAGTCCATTGTATTGCCTTAAGTTGCTCAATTTATATGTGTACTCCATCTTATTCTACTCGCTTTTCGATTACGCA